GAAACTTCTTCGACACTAGGAAGTTCCTCAGAAGATTGTCAACATTATCCGGAACTCATACGACAGACTACAGTGCAAAGTCGTGCATGGAAGACAGCTGACTAATGCATTCCAAGTGAGGACCGGAGTCAGACAAGGCTATCTACTCTCATCTTCCTCTTTCTTCTGGTGATTGACTGGATTATGAAGACTTCGACATCTGAGGGAAAACACGGAATACAATGGACACCTCAAAATAAATTAGACGATATGGACTTCTCAGATGACCTAGCCCTCCTCTCTCATACACACGAACAAATACAAACGAAGACAGCGAATGTAGCAGCAGCCTCTGCATCAATAGGCCTCAACATACACAAAGGAAAAAGCAAGATTCTCAAATACAACACGGAGAACACCGACCCAATCACACTTGATGGAGAAACTCTAGAAGAGGTGGAAACATTCACGTACCTGAGAAGCATCATTGGTGAATAAGGAGGATCTGATGCAGATGTAAAGTCGGGGGTGGATAAAACAACGGCAGCATTTCTAAAATTGTAGAACATATGAGACTCAAAACAACACTCAACTAACTTCAAAGTGAGAATCTCTAATGCGAACGTCGAGACAGTTATACTGTAAGGAGCTGAAATTTGGAGAACTACTACATCGTACAAGTAAAAGTATTTATAAACAGTTGTTTACGCAATATACCCAACATTCACTGGCCGGATACTATCAGCAACAGCGTTTTATGGGAGAGGACAAACCAGCTTCCAGCTGAAGAGGAAATTAGGAAAAGACGTTGGAAATGGATAGGACATACATTGAAGAAATCACCAAACTGCATCACGAGGCAAGCGCTAACTTGGAATCCTGAAAGGAAACGGAAAAGAGGAAGGTTAAAGAACACAATACACCGGGAAATAGAAGCAGATATGAAAAGGATGAATGTTAACTGGAAAGAACTGGAAAGGATTGTCCAGGACAGGGTTGGATGGAAAATGCTGATTTGTGGTCTATGCTCTTCCACGATGGGTAACAGGCGTAAGTAAGTAATTGTTTTCATGTTTAGAAACATATAATGTTTGAAGCCAAGTTGTCCTTGTTTTGACTATAGCTTTCACATAGACTTTGGAATCGCCAGTAACGCGTTTACAGTTCTAGTAGTATATCTGTGGGATAAATGAAATTCTACATAACCTGCACGCAATGAGTAAAAATTCAAATTTTTATATTTATCCGAAACTTGATGTGTTTAATTGTGACGAACTCAATGGTTAGGACCTCAAAGTTTTCCAATCAAATGTATGCATGAGAACCCAAATACACTCTAAAGCATTAAAATTAAAAATCATACCGGATAAAATATGTTACCTAATCACGGTTGTATTTAACGATATTACACGAAGTACCTTTAAATCAAAAATAACCACAAAATGTCAAACAATAATTAGAATGACAAGTAATTTATTTCATAAACAGTTTGATGGCCAGGTAGAATAGAACAAGCAGACGTGTAAATTCTTTCGGTTTATTAAATCTACAGACTTTAGAAAATTGTACATTTGGATCTTCTTAAAACTATAAAGGATGAGATTCTTTGTTAAAATCTTCGTAATTTATGCTTTGCAAGACGTTTTAATGATTATGCAATATCGTTATACTTTGAATTAACACAAAATTGCATTTCTGTTTCCTATTCCTATCATTTGCACAGTTAGTTTTCGTATTTCTTCTGTTTTACATTTCTTTTTGTTCACTGGACCTTGATGTATTATTAGAGAGAGCTTTACACCCAATTAAATAAATTAAGAGTGTTCATTAAAATAGTTTACCATGAATACTGAATATATTTCTTGACAGGCATTCCTAACTCTGGTTCGGGTAATAATGAGAATACAAACGACTGTGTTTTCACTTTATTATTAACTTGAAGAAGACTTTTACATACGAACAGTTATAACTTGTGTCCGCCAATTTTTATTATCTTGTACTCGCCTATTACAGAGCTATGATTTATCGATCGGACCAGTGTCTCATAAAATCCGTGCTAGCAGTCTATAGTACTTATCGGTCCTGCTATCTGTCTAGCCCGACCAGTTAAGTCCAGAACATCAATAACAGCCTCTGCAATATGAATCATTTATTTCAAACATACTGGGTTTATATACCGCTCAAACCGACTACATCGTACCATAAAATAACATTCGTACAAGATCCATCCAAATGTGGCTGTGAATGTGGGAGGCAGTAATTAATAGACTAGGGATAGCTCAAGAACGATAAATCATAAAATAATAATTCATAAGTCAAAATATAGCCTATAATAAGAGGCACACGAATATGAATAGTTTAGTTACTTAACAATTATACAATAGGAGATATACACATTACATTGGTCCATAAATAGTCCTCAAAGGTTACCATTCATAATTCTCTTTGGAATATAACACTAACCACATTCAATGTTCCCACTTTCTATATACTAGAAAAGGTAATAATATCTTTTGAACATCATGCAGTTGACTTACCTAGTAACAAATCGCATTTTTGAACAATGGTGAGTACTATTTGAGATTTGGGAAATTTCGTAATATAAATCTTTAGATATTGTTTTCAGACTGACCAATATTTATTTTCTAAGACAACGGTGATTCTGTAATAAATTTTAGATAGTTCCATTTGATTTTCCGTCTAGTCGCATTGATCTGAATAACTAATAAATATTTAAGTTTCCGAATCCCATACCCTTTATCAAATTTATTTATGGGGTGTAGCCAAGGAGCTTTGAACAACAAGGTAACACACGAAATTCTTTCGAAAGCTTTTGATTGACGGAGTTTAAATGTCTGGAGTCAGATGAACAGCACTAGTAGCAATGAGTGATGGTCACACAAAACAATGGATTGGTTGAAGTTATTCATCTAAGCCATTCGATGTCAACTTACCGATATGAACGCTAAACACTTTTTAAGAGGAATGAATGTCCAGGATTCGATCCTTAATTGAGTTGTGGAAGAGCATCGATGAGGAGTTTAATAATAGGACGAATCATCTCTCCAGTAATTCTTTTTTTTAATGGTTGTCTAGCTGAAGTTAGTCCATGGTTTTAAACTACAAAGTTCAACAAGTCACGCAAAATAATTGAAGTCACTTTAGCTAGTGTCTTAAATGAAGTAATACTAGGTTGCCCCAGCCAATTCGATAATATTTTTAATCATTGATTTACCATAAATCAGTGATTTCACCATAAGATATCCTATCTTGGCCTATCAATCTTCTTTCAGTCAATGCCAGACAGTATGTTAGGGAAAATGATACTAGATACAAGTGATATATTCTTCGATAATCTTTTGCTGAAGGTTCACATATTATTCAATGAACTTCCCATTTCTGTTGTTTAGTGTATTTACCATATAAATTACTTAAAAATTTAGTTCACCATAAACAAAAAATAAATGCACCACATGATGAGATTTTTTGCCATCAGCTTACTAGGTTCGATAGTGCTGAGTAACTTGGGGATTACTCACTATTCTCAGACATTTTACTACTTATTGTTAGATGAAGCACATACTAAGAAAACTCGCTTTTCAGGGAAGAAAAAGAATCTTGTGTATTATTGTATTGCAGATCAATAAAAAAATCACCAAGCTGAGTAAAATGTTTATTAGTGGGTGCTGTTTGACATAGTGAACTAACGCTTTTACGTCTTTAGAGTAGGTTAAGTGTTGGGACTTCAATACTGAGCTTGAAGTTTGAATCCATCTTGCTTCAAAACCTTTAAAAGTATAAGACGTTTTAATATATTATCATAATGACATATAACTTTTACTTTAAAATCGAGTACTTCTTACCTACTTCCTTTACGATTAGTAACTCTCATTTTAACGATGAGAAAAACAAACTGCAGTATAAATAATGACGTATGTACTCCAAACAATGTCGTTATAAATCTAAGAGGATCTCCGAACAAATGAGAATGGTTGATTTTCACAAAACTTTTAATTAAAAGTTAATCCTCATAGAACGATATGTTTATGAAATAATTCTCTAATTTTGTCATTATTCTACATAAGGTGTTTGAAAACCATGGTAGCTGTTTTATTCATGATAACACCAATTTAATCTATATTCCAGAAAGATGGTTATCGACTTAATTAATTTGAATGATAATGGATAGTAAAAGAAACTCATCAGATATTAATTGACATTAGTGTACAAGGCATGCTAATAGCTTACTGTTTACTGGGTACTTTATTTTAAAAGTAAAACATTCAATGTAAATCAAGAACAAAGGATAGTGGGATGAGATGAATTCAATCATTCATGTCCTCTAAATCTTTCAAATAAACGGCAACTTTAGAAATGCTTCTTCATGCCTGGACTGGTTATTCACACATACATCTTATTTTTCTTCTAAAATAATGTTTTAATGGACATGTTTGTATATCGTTAAATACTACTAGCACTGAGTAAATGTAATCATTTATATTATGTGTTGAAATTGTGATTTTCCAATTTAAGCTACATACATTCACCTAAGTAAAATCTTCATGGTACCATTTCACTGTCGCATTCCTAGAAACATATTTGCTTAAAACATATTGAGATGAAATTGTACTGAAAGTAAATTTCTAGTATCCAGAGAAAATAATTAAAATCAAATGAAAACTTATTGAGTTTTGATAATTTTTATTTTTCTGTTTAATAATTACTTGAGATTTACAAAAATATCATTTAAGTAAGTTTTTACGGAATGTACACAGGAAACGGACGCACTAATATAGACAACATAAGTTCCAGGACACCAAATAAGAATTTGTGTAGGCATTTCACATTGACAATGAAGAATACATGATAATTTGTGTAAGGAGCGTAGGATGAAAGAATTTTAACCCTTATTTTGGATGGTAACTAGGATATATATATTTTTATTGAGACTTTTGTTTTGGATACAGAGTGTCACGAAAAATGTTAATCGTGTACTCTTTAATGAAGCATTTAAATTGCTATTAAGATATTGCACAATCTAGATAAACAATATCTGGTTTACATTTGTTTGTCTTTCCACTAGATCTTCTGCTCAGACGCAAGCTATTACGAAAGATTCCTTGACGAAACTTTGAATGCTTTCGTTCAGTTATACTCACATCAGATAATTCATTACTAAGAGTATTAGGATTGATATTACTGTCATTCGATGAGACAGTATTATTAGGTACAGTACCACTAAGTGCAGAAAAATCTGTTTCTCTTGTTCCAATGGGTAACATATTTCCCGATGTATTACTGCCAATGCTAGTAGTTATTCCGGCTTGGGTATTACTCAGACTAGCTCGTCTAGTACCATCCCATTTAACTAACGTTATTGCCTTACTCACATCATTTTGTAACCATAGTGATTCAAATATTGACATAATGGAGTCGTTCGTTTTAGCACTAACATATACGAATTGCGATGGTTTTAAACCATTCGTAAGCAACCATTCCATTATGGCACCTTCACTAATTTGTGAAAATGAGTTCGGTAAATCGGACTTATTGCACACAACAGTAATTGGTGATGCCATGTTCATGCTAAGTGCCCATTCTTCACTTTGCTCATGAGATAGGTTTGAAGTTAGAGAGGCATAATCTGTACGTTGAGATTTGATTTGTGATAACAGCTGACCAGCTTGTACGAGTGAATCAAGGCTGTCATGAGCAAATACAATAACAAATGCATTTGCTTTACTTATGCATAGCCGTAACATCGCTGGAAAATCATAACTGCCAGCTGTATCTATTAAAACAAGTTTTACTATGTGATTACGCACTATGAACTTTTTCGAGTGAATATCCTCAACGGTTGGTGTATATTTTGTTTCGAAATGGTTATAGAGAAAACGCTGAATAATTGAAGTCTTTCCAACTTTAGCTGAACCTAAAAACACTATTCGTACTTCTTCATCAGCTTCTGATGTTGTCGATGATGTAGGTGTACATTGTGATATCGTTGGTGAATTATTTACTGGTACATTTTCTTGTTGTTTTGCTTCACATAATTTCGTTTGAATTTGTGGAGGCTTAGTATAGCGTGATATAGATGAATTCATTTTTCAGTATCTTTCTTCATCTATTATATTCCTGGAAAAAAGTAGTTTATTATTTAAGTATTGTCTGATGACACAAAAGTTATTAAGGAAAAATGTAAAAATTATTCTTGATAAATATGTTAGTTAGGATAATCATTTTCGTGCACTTAAGTGAGTTTAAAATTTCATTAACCAGAGTAGTTACCCATTACTACTATTATTTTATTTAAATAATTATTGAGCATAAATTGTTTCTATACAACTATTACTTACTAGCTATATGACATTAGTCTTCAAATTCATTATCAAATTGCCAAGTGGGTGAACTTAATTAATAGATTTTACAGGGGAAGTTCAAGGCTCTAGGTGTAACATGTAACGTACATAATATTCATATCATGTTTTGTTTTAATTTTATCGTGTCCACTATGTTGCTTTCATATGTGTTCGCTTTGATATTGTAAATTTTGTTTGACCGTCGATAAAATGTTTGGTTTAATATGCCTGAAACTAGCAAGTTATCAGATTCGTTCTTCATAAAACTGGTTATTTCTGTACGGGCAGTTTCCAGACTACTTTTGTCTAAACGAATGAAATGAATGATCGAACCGCCTTTGACTTATTTAATTAAGTGTAAGATTAGAAAAGATTTATGTACTATTATTGTTTTACTTACTTAAGTGGTACATTACCTTCTGGAAAGTCTATACGAAAAATTTTATGTCATAACTGAATATGAAGAGGAAACTTGAGCTCGTTGCTGACAAGAACAACATCAAAAATTCGTTTTGCATTTTTATGAAATACTAAGTAGAAAAACCTGATTACGAACATTCACTTAATTTACCTCAGTGTATGCAATTGAAATTAAGTTTACATTTGGTTGAAATGCTTTGTAGAATGAAAACTAATGTATACACTTGCATAGCTCGGTACATATTGTTGTTCAAACTAAAATGACTGATCTGAAATGTTTTGCTCTTTTAGACTGTACTAGTTTAATGTGTGGTACTTATATCGACATAAGTGGTATATGACGCTAGTCAGGGATAGTATGTCTGGCAGCGGAAGGTTGAGACGATCGGGAAGGAAAGAGCAGGAATAGAGATCGATTGGTATGGAAATGAAGGGACAGTGAAGTGTAAGACGATTAATTGACATTTGAAAAGGAACAGTAAAGTTTAAGACAATTGATTGATATTTTGCAAATTAAGTATTTATTGTATGATTCTCAAATTTTACTAAGAGATTCTGTAATTCAATAGACAAATACATTCGATAGTTCACTATACTAGTAGTCGAAGATAAGCGGATTTACCTAAAGAAAGATGTTCACAGAGTAAAAACTGATCTCATACGTTCATGATGTCGTCTAGGGCATGTCAAATTATTTCACCCAAAAGTCCTCGAGGATAATGGACAACAGTGGTAACTTTACTACAAGTAGAGACTAAGAATAAACTGCTTTTAATTTCAGGAAGCAATTTTATAATCTGATTTTCGTTGTCTTTCTAAACTTTTCTATCTCAGAATCTTAATTTTATACGTCTTAAATATACAGTTTCTATTGAATTATATCTAAAACCCATAATAGTTCCAAATATTAATGAGATAACCAGTAAAATGAATGTTATTTCTATTAAATTTACTATTTTGAAATTTTCTGGAATGACTACATTCAAAATAATAAACAGTTAAAACTTCGATCCGATTTTCAAAGGCGGTTGCATGGCGTCGAATAGTTGTTTGCTACTATGAGAAATATTTCATATTCCCTTAGTAATTTGACTGCGCCACTAATCAGTTATGTACAGAACCTCAACAAAAAATATTTCAAGGTCCAGTTGTTGAAGGAACGTAAATCTTTTCAGTCGATGGAAAAATATTAATTAAGAATAAATTTACCACTTACTCTAATAATTATTATTTGCTCTCCAGTAAAAATACCGATCTCAGGGTATATCCTGAGTGTCTAATGAAATTTCAGTCTTCTCGAGTATAGAGCAGTCATTCAATAGAGCTATCCATGATTGTCACAATATATTTCTAATTGACTAAGATTAAAGACTTGTACCAATAAATTTCAGCGCAATAGTTTTATGTGGACACGCATGTTGCAAAACCTAAGTGTCCTGGACTTTAGTACAGGCGGGGCAGTAGATACATATTCCTAAGAGATCTTAGCCTAGAATAGAAAAACACTCCTCATCTATCAATAGTCCTCCAAAAAGCGTCAGTTGGTGGAGAAGACCATCTTTAAATAACTGGATTTACGGTAATACAAATCTTATGTTGATAGGGAAAGGATATCATTTTTTACTTACTTACTTACGCCTGTTACTCCCAATGGAGCATAGGCCGCCGACCAGCTTTCTCCAACCCACTCTGTCCTCCGCCTTCTTTTCTAGTTCTTTCCAGTTCTTGTTCATTCTTCTCATGTCTGTCTCTATTTCTCGGCGTAATGTGTTCTTTGGTCTTCCTCTTCTCCTTTGACCTTCAGGATTCCATGTGAGGGCTTATCTTGTGACACAATTGGGTGATTTCCTCAAAGTGTGCCCAATCCACTTCCAGCGCTTCTTCCTGATTTCTTCCTCCGCTGGAATCTGGTTTGTTGTCTCCCACAGTAACTTGTTGCTGATAGTGTCTGGCCATCTGATCCGAAGTATCTTGCGTAGACAGCTGTTAATAGACACTTGTATCTTCTGGATAATGGCTTTCGTAGTTCTCCACGTCTCTGCCCCATACAGAAGAACTGTCTTGACATTTGTATTGAAAATTCTAACCTTGGTGTTGGTTGACAATTGTTTTGAGCTCCAGATGTTTTTCAGTTGTAGGTATGCTGCTCTTGCTTTGCCGATCCGCGCCCTCACATCTGCATCTGATCCACCGTGTTCATCAATGATGCTGCCCAGATATGTAAAGGTTTCCACATCCTCCAAAGCTTCTCCGTCAAGTGTAATTGGATTGGTGCATATTGTATTGTATCGGAGAGTCTTGCTTTTCTCTTTGTTTATATTGAGACCTACTGCTGCTGAGGCTGCTGCTACACTGGTCGTTTTCTCCTGCATTTGTTGTTGCGTTTGTGATAGAAGAGCCAGATCATCCGCGAAGTCTAAATCGTCAAGCTGCATCCTGCCTGTCTACTGTATCCCGTGTATTCCTCCAGATGTTGACGTCTTCATAATCCAGTCGATCACCAGGAGAAAGAGAAAGGGTGAGAGTAAGCAACCTTGCCTAACACCGGTCTTTACTTGTAATGAGTCGGTGAGTTGTCCTCCGTGGACGATTTGGCAGTTTAGTCCATCATAGGAGTTCCGTATGATATTTACTATCTTCTCAGGCACGCCGTAGTGTCGAAGAAGCTTCCATAGTGTCGTCCTGTCCACGCTATCAAATGCCTTCTCGTAGTCGATGAAGTTGATGTAGAGTGATGAATTCCATTCGATTGATTGTTCCACAATGATCCGCAGAGTTGCGATTTGATCTGTGCACGATCTATCCTTACGAAATCCAGCTTGTTGATCTCGAAGTTGGGCGTCCACGGAATCCTTCATCCTGTTTAACAATACCCTGTTGAAGACTTTTCCTGGTATTGAGAGGAGAGTGATGCCCCTGTAGTTGTCGCACTTGCTAAGATCGCCTTTCTTTGGTATCTTGATGAGAAGTCCTTCTTTCCAGTCTGTTGGTACATGTTCTTCGTCCCAAATCTTACTGAAGAGGATGTGGAGTATCTTGGCAGTTGCTGTTACATTTGCTTTCAGTGCCTCCGCCGGGATGTTGTCTGGTCCCGCTGCTTTGCCACTCTTGATTTGTCTAATGGCCATGCTGATCTCTTCAATTGTTGGTGGGCCAATATCGATTGGGAGGTCTGTGGGTGCTGCTTCGATGTTGGGTGGGTTCAGTGGAGCTGGTCGATTCAAGAGTTCTTTGAAGTGTTCTACCCACCTGTTTCGTTGTTCTTCAATGTCGGTGATTACTTTGCCTTCCTTGCTTTTCACTGGTCTTTCTGGCTTACGGTAATTTCCAGCAAGTTTCTTTGTTGTATCATACAGTTGTCTCATGTTTCCCTCTCTTGCAGCCTTTTCCGCTGTCATCGCTAAATCTTCCACATATTTACGTTTGTCGGTCCTGATGCTCCTCTTCACTTGCTTGTTTGCCTCTGTGTATTCGGCTTGTGCCTTGGCTTTTTCTGCTCTTGTTCGGCTGATATTGATTGCTACCTTCTTGTTCCTCCTTGCTTCAATTTTATCCAGTGTACCAACAGTGATCCATTCCTTGTGATGGTGCTTCTTTTGGCCCAGAACCTCCTGACATGTTGAAACGATTGCCTCCTTGATACCTTTCCAGCTGCTCTCTATGGTGGTTCCCTCTCCATTGAGTAGGTCATGAAAGGCCTCGAACCTGTTGCTGAGGGCTATGTTAAATTCGTTGAGTTTGTCAGCATCTCGAAGAAAGTCCGTGTTAAACTTTTGTGATATTGTCCGCGCCATTGTCCAGTGCTTCTTGAGTTTTAGTTTCATCTTGGCGACCAGCAAATGGTGATCGGATGCTATATCAGCTCCTCTTCCGGTTCTGACATCCTCCATCGTCCTCCTGAACTTTTTGTTGATGCAGATATGGTCGATTTGATTCTGTGTAGTGTGATCCGGTGAAATCCAAGTGGCTTTGTGTATGTTTTTGTGTGGGAATATGGTGCCACCTATGACCAGTTTATTGAAGGCACATAGGTTTGCAAATCTCTCACCATTTTCGTTCCTTCCTCCCAGTCCATGTTGTCCCATGACGTCTTCGTATCCAATGTTGTCCTTTCCAACCTTGGCATTGAAATCTCCCATTAGAATGGTCAGGTCCTTGGTTGGGCACTTCTCGAAGATTGACTGCAGCCTATCGTAGAATTGGTTTTTAGCGTCTTCATCGTAGTCGTTGGTCGGCGCATAGCATTGGATGATGTTCATTGTAATGCCCTCTCTCTTTGTTTTGAAGGAGGTTTTGATGATCCTCGGTCCATGAGATTCCCATCC